TGCTCCCAGAACTCCACAGAAGGCTCAGATCATGTGAAGTAAAGTTTCCTCTCATATGAGATTCCTCATTGTGATGTCTAGAGTTGGTATGAGGGGTGGGGAAACTTCATTCTTTAAATGTCTGAACAATTCTTCTGTACCTTTGAAAGGTATCTTTTAAAGATTTTTAAAGATTCTTTCTATACTTTTCTATAAATCAGAAAATATTGTACACTTGAGTTGTTAACACATTTTACTTCTGCATATTTTTTCCTTTCAGCTAATATTTTTTCATTTAAAGTTATTTTTTGGTCCCTCATTGTATTGGAAAATAATGAAACATTTGCATTTTTAATAAATCTTAGAGAACTGTAATGATTCTTTTTGTGTGTGTGTGTCCCTAATTTATATGAAGCTATTGAAGGAAGAGAATGTTTCTAATTTTATCCTTTTAGCAATACCATTATATTTTTACATTTTGCAAGGATTGGAAACTTGTCCAAAAGATGATGTGTCATTATTCTATTAGGTTAGAGTGAGAACTGATGATGGTAGAATGAATGTAGATGATAAAATTTGATACAGAATTTTCCCAGCCTCATAATATCACAAAATCATGTCTTTTAATGAGCTAACTATACCAGGGATGGACTATATCCTCAATTGGTCATTGATTGATAATAATAAAGTCTCTTTTTTCAATAGAAACACTTATATATAAACTCAGTGTAACAAGGCAAAACTTTATTACATTTACTGAATTAATTTAACAGACTTTGCCTTCTTTGTAACCTTGATTTTAATGTATAGTTTACTTATTTTCATTTGGATAGCTGAAACAGTTGACAGGGTAAAACAAAAGACAGTCAGGGTCTTTCCCATTTTTATATAAATACTATCTCTAAACTCACTGCCATCAAGTCAAATCCGATTCATAGTGACCCCTCCTTGGGTTTCCAAAGTGGTGTCTCTATGGAAGTAGATTGCTCAGTGAATTTTTTTTGTGAATGTGTAAAGATATTATAACCTGTGAAAATAGTGAAGAGAAAATGTCTGTTCCATATAAGCACTTTTTCAAATTCCCACATCTATTTTTAGAACAAGTAAGGCTAAGCAAAGCAGTGTTTGCAGTTGCGTCTACCTACTACTTCCCCATCAACATTAGGAATACTGTGTGAGAAAGCAGCAAACTTTGATCGTGCAAGTTACAGTTTATAATTTTCAACAGAAGTGGAAGAAAAGCCGCTCATATCTTGTGCCAACTTCCTGCTAAGAGTGAATAATTATTCTTTCTGTGTACCCTACTTATTTCCACAGAACTTTATTTGAGTAATGAAGATTTAAAAAAGCTTCATGACTTTGAAGAACAGTGTGTGGAAAAATACTTCCATGAGAAGATGGAAAACTTAAATTGTAGTTGTGAGGAACAAATTCGAGTGACATCAGGAAGGTAAAAGGTCTATTATTTTTTTAAAAAAACCCTAAAATGCTATCGGAGCTGGTGGTGTATGCCTAAGGCACTTGACTGCTAACCAGAAGACTGGCGGTTCAAATCCGCCAGACACTCCTCAGAAGAAAGGTTGGGCAATCTACTTCTGTAATGACACTGCTTTGCAATGTCCCCCGCAAGAAGGGGTCACTTTGAGTGGGATCCAACTCGACGGCAGTGACTTTTTAAAATGCTATCAAAATCGGATTCTACAAGAATGTCAGAAAGAATAGAATATTTCACTTCAAAACCAAGAGAATTGAGTTCTCTAAAATTTGAAGCATTCAGCAGCATATAATATTTATTCAATTAATACATATTTGCTGAGCCTTTACTATGTTCTAGGCACTCTTCCATTAGTGGGGATAAGCAGCGTAAAAGAGACAAGTGTATTCCTGCCCTCCTAGGACTTATACTCTGGTGTGTGTTTGTGTGTGGTGGGGGTGGAGCACAAAATATAAGCAAGCAAACACATAATTTAGTATCAGTCAGTTAAAGAGCTACCAAGAAAAAGAATGTAGTTTAAGGGATTAGGGAACGAGGGAGATGAGTCGGGGGTAGGGTTGGCCTCTTTTGGATAGCCTGGTCCAGGAAGGTTGCTCTGAGGAGTTTCAGGAAGTGATCATGTGAGCGGAGACCTGAAGGAGGAAGTCAGTAGAGGGAGCCAGGCACAGACATCTGGTAGAATAAAGCATTTGGCAGAAGAAACAGCAAATGTAGATGTCCTGAGGCAGGAGACGGCTTAGTGTGTTGCAGAGCAGAAGGCGGGCCCTGGAGGAAGTGGGAGTGTATATGGTCACTGGATAGGGAGTTACGGGGTTCACTGGGCACCCGAGCACCAGTTGCTAGGCAGCAGAGTTAAAGAGAGAATGGAAGTGGAGATGGCAATTATAGGCAGCTTTTTTTTTTTTTTT